AAGGAATTCTCAATATTAATACATATAAAGATACTCCATACAACAACTACATAGTCGTTTCACTGCATTAATGGAAAGACAGTCTAGAGAGACGATAATCCTTCCTTACTGAGCAAAAAAGTGTTGTTCCTAAAGTTACATAGGCTGAAGTCCCAGAATTTGCATGTGCGAGCCTTTCAGAGACGAGCTCTGAGGGTCATTGCTACATATATCAAGTCTTTTTGTTTTTATTTTTTAAAATGAGGCAATTCTGCGGTCTGAGCTGATCCTATCTGCCTGAGAGTGCTGGCTCCTAGCTAGGAAATCTGGTGTGCGCGCTGCAAGTTCCAACTTCTCGGGTTCATAGCTGCTTCCCAAATACAGTTAAGTTTGTGATGTTGAATAGCACCTTGGGTTCGCTTTGGCTAATCAAAATGCCTCCAGAGCCATTACCCATGGGTGTCACTTGACTGATTAGCCACAGGTTAAAACTGAAATTCTTTACTACCCCCCCCTCCCCCCCCTCCCTTTTTGTCAACCTGAGAAGAAGCTGACATTCACGCATGCTTTGATTCACCTGGACATCGGCCGGCAGCAACTACGGGGTTAATGTGTAATTGTGTGTGTGTGTCTGTGCTCGTCCCATGTACAAATGGTTGGTATGAGTACACAACCAGCTATCAGGGTTCCTTTTCTTAATCAATAAAGAGGAGGGGGAGGGGGAAAACTGTCATGTTACACAAGTTTGTTTTTGGGCATGTAAATATACTTGCATACATTCCACAACCACAGCAACGTTTCAAATGACTAATTTCCTAGTTTTAAAGGCCCATGCAGGCATTACATTCATAGCGTTCTACCAATATGGCAGACAATACAACAAGGAAGTACAACTCCCATTGAAAAAAAAAACATTGCGCTGAAAATCATTCATCTCCAGAAATTACTTAGACTCTCTCGATATATTTCCAAGAAGGAAGGAGAGTGGGATTTGGTTGTCATGCAGCCCAACGAGGACCAAGAACCTCTTTTTATAATGCTTCATAGTTTATTCAGACTTGTTAGCCATCGACAGCATTGAGGGCTTGGTATTTTTGGCACTCCAAAGTTAAAATTCGAACTTTTAAGCGTAAGAGTGCCCGAGCTTCAATTCAGTTTCGAACTACCACCAAGCGTAATTTAAGGGCAACGACCAGCGAGCCCCACCTAAGAATTGTTTCAGTGCTGCGAGGATTTAGACACAAAAATAATAATAATAAGAGATACTCAGTCCAAACAGCACTAGGGAATAACTAGTTGATTGTTTTAGTCAGAGCAAAACTAGTTGTCTGTGGAATCTCTGCGGTATAATCTGCTGAAGGGGAACCTAAAGATGCTGTGTGTAACTGCAGCATGATATCAATTAAAACAACGCTAAAGCCAAGTACTGTATTTTCACTTACAGAGCTTTCTCTTTGTGTTAACCGGTGCCTGTGATTGTGTTTCATGTGCTGTGTCAGAGTGTTTGCGTGTGTGTGCATATATATATATATATATATGTCATGTTTAAGGGGGTGGGGTCAACCATTTTGTTGCACGTCAATCTGCTCTCACACTGCTGGCTAGATGCTAGAGGAGGTCAGACTGGAAAGATGACAGACTGTTCGGTTGTGGCTGGTATGGCAGGCCTGTCTCTCTGTCTCGGCAGTTCAGCGGCAATCAGCTGACTCTGCTCACACAGCCGCTCTCAGAGATCGTCCCCGTCCAACCGTTGGCCTCCCTGAAACGATACGCATTGACACAGCTCATCTCTCATACTCTCCAACAATCACAACACCTTTAGCAAGCAGAGATGTCAGTGAGTTACAATAAACTAAGGGGCGAAGGTCTCCAAACCTTTCATAAAGGATGTATCAAATACAAATACGATGAGCAATCAGACAGCTATGTTCCTATAGCAGCCAGTTGATCTGTTTTAGTCTAAAGTCCCCAGTGAAATACTGAAATGTAATAATGCAAGCAACAAGCTAGAGTTAGTTTTCAGTAACCCCACCATTTTATTATTTTGTAACCTTGTAAGGGTGTGCTATCTTGGTCTCCCTCAAAAAACAGATTTTAATCTCAAGGGTCTCCCTGGTTAAATCACTGAAGTTCCAGGGCAGCTTATTATATATAAAAATACTTCAAACATCTGCTTCAACAGATTTTCAACAGATTTTTCATTCGTGGAGAAAATGAATGCGCCATATTCACTTGATACCCAGACCACTGAAAAGAGGACTGTGTTATAACCACTCACCATGCTTTCCGTGTAATCTGCGGTTATGGTGACCTGCTTGTCCTCTGGGGGAGGGGTCACAGCAGAGCTATCTGTGCGTCTGCTCTGATTGGTGAGCTGCAGCCACAGTTCGTACATCTGTTGCATGTCCCTTACTGCAGAGGGGTGAGGTGAGAAAGACGAGAGAAAGAGAAAACAACCTCTGTAACCTTCAATAAAGTGGGTTACACAAAAAAACAATCAGGGAGAGTGGAGTGAAGAAGAGTGAGACAGGCACTTCAAAAATCAATGTAACTAAACGTGGTGGTAGGCAAAAGGAACACACAGACCACAGGCCATGACTACAAACTGAAAAACAGGTGTCGATAAATAAAATACATCTTCCCAAACCTTCTTTTTTATTGGTATTTTAGAAATAAAACAAAAAAAATATTCCAATTAAATTAAAATTTGAGGGGATAATTAAATCTAGAGCTGACTGTGTGAAGTACCAATCGCATACCACCACTCTTTTGTGCAGCACTTTTCTAAAGGCTCTGATATAAAACCGCAGTGGTTCTAGATGAAACCAGGAGCTTACAGCTGTTGTTCTTCATGTACGTCCAGACGTCCCTCTCCTCCAGACTGTGAGCAAAGGAGCAATTCCCAATGTAGTGGCACTTCTTCTGCTTCATCACATGCACACACATCTGATTGATACACAGGCAAAGGCAAAGGGTTACAGGGTGATAGCAACAGCACCGCAAGTGTTTAGATTTTTCTCCACTACTTTGTGAAAATGTAATTTTGTGGTTGTTTATTTCAATTACAGGACATGACATAAAGTCGTCGGACAACTAGTGTTGCAATTTCTGTTGGCTAAAATATAGCAATTGTTTAAAACGCCTTAAAGTGAACTCTTTATAATCACCATGAAGTACTGTGTTATTTAACAGTATCAGTGACGTGTAAACACTGTCAAAGACACACTAGAAGAATAATAAGACACAGGGGTAAGGAGGTCTAAAACAACACTTCTCCCCTGGGGCAAAAACAAAGTCAGCTGTACTCTCCATGTGAGAGAGGTGTAGGGGTGGAGAAGAGAAAAGAGCGTTTAAGGACCAAAGGAAAAGGGAGGAGCTCACGTCATATTGCTGTGGATATGTGCGAGAGAAGGGCAGAGGCCGAACAACAACCCACTTCTTCTTCTCAAATGATTTCACCAGCAGGACCCGACGCTCCTTCGTCCAGCTGAGGAGACAGACAGCCAACATTAATCCAAAAGAAACAAAAGGAAACAAACCAAGAGGCTAAAAAAAAAAGATTAAAAAAAAATTAAAAAAAAAAAAAAAGAGCAGCAACGACTAAACAACAGCCAAGCGTTTCATTTTGTCCTTTTTAGTTCAACTCTGCCGCTGCTATGACAACCGGTGTTACAATGACAGCAGATGATTATACGTCCTTAACACACAAATCAGCTTCAGTGACATGTAAACCGCAATGTGGACAGTCAGCCTCAAGGATCAGATGACTTACGGGACAAAAACAATGTGTATGTGTGCGTGTGTGTGAGACAGGTCTCACCTGTGCCGTGCTTTGGCGGTGCAGTACTTGAGGTTTTTGTCGGGCTCATTGACCTGTCCTTCTCTCCAGCACTGGCCGCACACAAACTTCATTTTCAAGTTGAGGGGGCGCCCTCTTCCCGCCACTGCTCCAAACCCTCCCACCCCCACCCCACCCA